AAGTGAAATTGAAAATTGATTTGTTTAGAATTCCTTCTTTTGGATACCTTCATGTTCATTATAATTGCAATAAGAAATCGGGAAAAATTTAAAGGAAATTTTGATGGTAGGTCCAGTAAATAAAATCCATGCGCAAAACTCAACTTTCTTACTTCCTCTAACAATAATAAATAAAATGCATGAGCAAAAAATCGCGTTGCGCATTCAAATACTAACCGGGAGCAACGTTGCTTGATTTTAGACAATAAAGGAATGAATTATTGGTAATAATAATTATAATTATTAAACACAAACAAAAGGTGGTTTTGAGCTAGGAAGCTGTTCTGTCAAGAATTTGGCACCTGGTTTAAATTTTCCTAATTAGATTTATTGCCGAATTTTTGATAAAATAATGAGAAATGCGCCTGAATATGAACTAATTCGTATATCATTATATGAAAAAAAAAGCTTCTTTGGATTGGTGTCATTATGAACCCTCTAAGTTAACATGGGGAGCAACGATAAATAAAAGGTTTTTCCCATGTTAATTGCCTATGTTCGGTTTTGAAATATTCACCTGGTATATTTCCCAATAAACTCTAATTTTCTTTGAATTTCTATCTAAACGAAGAACTATGCAAATTTACCTAATACCTAATAGTGGAGCGTATACAAATATTAAAAAGTAAATTGAAACCCGTATTGATTTTTATTCCAAGTGCCTACTTATATATTATTTGCGCAATGCACTATTTTAAAAACGTCGTTAATTTTATTTATATTCGTAGTGTTTACGTATAAAATTTCATTTAAATATTTTCATGAATAGTTTACATTGCACATGCAAATTTTAGACACTGCGCATGCGCAGAATCACATTTTGCAATCGTTATTACTTTCACTTTTTTGCTAAGTAAATATGAAATCTAATTTATATATCTTCATAAATAAGAAAGCATTATACATTTTCGCCAGCCTGACGGACGGTAAAGTGCGGCCAATAATAGCGTTTGTAAAGAAAATACGCTACAAACATGGTAAATGGTCATCGTGCCGTTTATTCCATTGTGACCAAAAAGTTGTGCTTTTATATTGTTTGATTAATATGAGAATGTATGAATACATCCTGTAACGTCGTAATGTGAACCAATAAATTAAGATATCCCCTCTGTGAAGAACAGACGGAACCAGATCTGATAGAAGGAAGTTATACTGGTTGCCTATGCTGCAGAGTTTGTTTGGCGATCATTACTTTCAAACCAAAGTTGGTTTATTACTCGAAGAAAAAAAAAATTGTTGGCCCACTGTTTCTGGAATTTGACCCAATGTTGGTATTTTTGTATGCAACGCTCTGTATATCTCGGCGTCAAATTTTTTTTAATTTTAGCCGTAGATTCATGGAAATTTTGTTTTGTTTATTTAACTAAAGTAAAGCAATCGATACCAACCAATAAAAATATCTTAAGCCCTAATGTATGTTCAGAGCCCCAATGCCATATAATTGGCATTTTCTTATTCTGTATGGTGTCTGGTTAAACAAATAGAAAAGGTGGTCCAAAATTGTTTGATTACGCCACTGGATTCTACGCAAGAATATCTAAAGTAGGCAGTTTTTATCTTTTTTAACGCATTTCCACAAAAATAAAAAAAATGCGGTATTGTGGTCACGTTGTCCGTCCGCTCTTTCGTTGAGACGCTACTAGTTTTTTATCTTAAGAGCTATTACTCTACTTTTTTCGCTATTTGGTTCGTTATGGTGTCGAGGCTTGCACCAAGGAAGTTTTTCTGTGTTTATTGCTAGAAAAGTTATTGTAAAGAAAACAAAAAACCATTTTTTACATGTTCCATTATTTTACACTTTTGTCGTTTATTAACGATCCTAGAGATCGTTTATAATTTTGTATTGCTGTCTGTCGTCCGTCTGTTGGTCTATCCGTGTGAACGATAACTTTGTTTAGAAATGTTCGATCGCTTTGACACCTCCGTTAGTTATGAACTGCATTGCATAAAATTTAATATGGGCATAGCTTTAGCCATATAATAGCAATGCCAAAAGTTGAGTTGAATCGATTCACAATGCCCTTTTCGCATCTCGACTATTTATAAACCAAATTGCACACTTTTTAGCGCATTTCCACAAAAATAAAAAAAAAATGCGCTATTGTGGCCACTTTGTCCGGCTGTCCGTCCGCTCGTTTTGCGACGCTACTAGTTCTTTATCTTAAGAGCTATTGTTCGTTATGGTGTCGAGGCTTGCACCAAGGAAGGAATTTTTTCTGTACCGCTTACAAAAAAAAGTTATTGTAAAAAAAACAAAAAACCGTTTTTTACATGTTCCATAATTTTACACTTTTGCCGTTTATTAACGATCCTAGAGATCGTTTATAATTTTGCATTGCTATCTGTCGTCTGCATGCTGGTCTGTCCGTCTGTTCCTTTGTCGGTCTGTCCATCTATCTGTCCGTGTGAACGATAACTTTGTTTAGAAATGTTCGATCGCTTTTACATCTCCGTTAGTTATGAACTGAATTGCATGATATTCAATATGGGCATAGCTTTAACCATATAATACGCAATGCCAAAAGTTGAATCGAATCGATTCAAAATTCACAGTGCCCTTTTCGCATCTCGACCATTTATAAGCCGAATTGCAAACTTTTTTACTATAAAAGTATTTGAATGAAATTTGATACATAGGCACTTGGAATAAAGGAAAATCAAACGCCAATTTCAAAATTTGGTTTTGCGCATGCGCAGTGCCAACTTTTTTATTTGCGGAAGAATTTACACGAAATTTGATACATAGGCACTTGGGATAAAAGAAAATCAAACGCCAATTTCAAAATTTGGTTTTGCGCATGCGCAGTGCCAACTTTTTTATTTATGGAAGAATTTAAACGAAATTTGATACATAGGCACTTGGGATAAAGGAAAATCAAACCCCAATTTCAAAATTTGGTTTTGCGCATGCGCAGTGCCAACTTTTTTATTTATGGAAGAATTTAAACGAAATTTTATACATAGGCACTTGGGATAAAGGAAAATCAAACGCCAATTTCAAAATTTGGTTTTGCGCATGCGTAGTGCCAACTTTTTTATTTATGGAAGAATTTAAACGAAATTTGATACATAGGCACTTCGAATAAAGGAAAATCAAACGCCAATTTCAAAATTTGGCTTTGCGCATGCGCAGTGCCAACTTTTTTATTTATGGAAGAATTTAAATGAAATGTGATACATAGGTACTTGGAATAAAGGATCATCGAGCGCCAGTCTCAAAATTTTCCTTTGCGCATGCGCAGTGCCGACTTTTTTATCTATGGCACCATTTAAGTGAAATTTGATACTTAGGCGCTTGGAACAAAAAATCAAATTAGTTTCAAAATTTGGCTTTGCGCATGCGCAGTGCCAACTTTTTTATTTATGGAAGAATTTAAATGAAATGTGATACATAGGTACTTGGAATAAAGGATCATCGAGCGCCAGTCTCAAAATTTTCCTTTGCGCATGCGCAGTGCCGACTTTTTTATCTATGGCACCATTTAAGTGAAATTTGATACTTAGGCGCTTGGAACAAAGGAAAATCTAAATTAGTTTTAAAATTTAGGTTTGCGCATGCGCAGTTCCAACTTTCTTATTTAGAAAATCATTGAAATGAAATTCTTCTCATAAACTGAAATTGAAGTAACACGTCAAAAATGGATTGCCCATGTGCAACGCTATCTTTCATATTTGTGGCCGGATTTTTACGATTTTATCAGAAGTTGCATCTTATAAATGGAAAATGAATGCAAGTGGAAATGCGCTTTATGTAAATCGTTTACGATTACTTTTTAACTTGTTTATTTATAAAAGTGTTTAAATGAAATTGGATACATAGGCGCTTGGAATAAAGGAAAATCTAACGCCAGTTTCAAAATTTGGTTTTGCGCATGCGCAGTGCTAACTTTTTTATTTATGGAAGCATTTAAATGAAATTTGATACTTTTCTGCTAAATCCCCAGAAGTCAACATTGTATGGCCACACTGTAAGGTGTAGATGGGATGGTGCTATTGAAATTTTGGTAAAAGAACATGCTACAGGCTTCTGTTTGAGAAAATATCACTTAAAATTTTCTTATCTCACAGATGTATTCGAAGATTTCGTCTCTCCGGTGACTGCCGCTCAAGCTCTTCTTCATTCCGCCTGCAAGAAACGCAAGGAGATGTTACAAAAAACGATGCAGTTGCTAAACCAAATATTAATAAACCCCGCGACGGAAGCCGCACAAAAAGATGGAGCCCTACACATGGTGGGATCGTTAGCCGACATATTGCTTAAAAAGAAAGGATACTGCGAGCAACTAGATCAGCTGTTCATTAAATACGTCTTTCCCGAGTTCTCCAGTCCGAGAGGTCACATGCGCGCGCGCGCCTGTTGGGTGCTTCACTATTTCAGCGAATTTGCGTTCAAGCAGGAGGCGGTGTTGGCCGAGGCGATGCGATTGACCGTCAACGCGCTTCTGCAGGACAAGGAATTACCCGTGAAGGTGGAAGCCGCCGTAGCTCTGCAGTCATTGTTAAATTACCAGGATCGTTGTCACCGCTATGTGGAACCGCAAGTGAAGCAAATAGCGCTCGAACTGCTGACTATCATTAGAGAGACGGAAAACGAGGATGTAACCAGCGTTATGCAGAAGCTCGTGTGCGTTTTTACACAGCAACTCGCTTGCATTGCCGCCGAAATTTGCCAACACTTAGCAACGACCTTTAGCAAGGTAGCTCACGAGGTATAATCCTTGTCTCTACTTCATTCCATTTCAGGTGCTCGATACTGATGAAGGTTCCGATGAAAAGGCGATAACAGCGATGGGTTTGTTAAACACTATTGAAACACTACTTACCGTCTTAGAAGAGCAACCGGAAGTTTTGCAACAGCTGGAACCGACCGTTTTACAAGTAGTTGCGCACGTTTTACAGAACGAGGTGCAAGAATTCTACGAGGAAGTTCTCTCGCTGATTTACGACCTCACCTGCAAACACATCTCGCCGGACATGTGGCGCGTTTTCGAACTGCTGTATCAAGTTTTTATGAAGAACGGCCTGGATCACTTCACCGACATGATGCCCTCATTGCATAACTATATCACCGTCGATACGGACGGATTTTTAGCCGACGAGAAACGATTACTCGCCATTTACTCCATGTGCAAGCAAGTTTTGAATAAGGATTGCGGCGAAGATCCCGAATCTCACGCCGCCAAATTACTTGAGGTCGTTTTGCTTCAATGTCGAGGTCGCATCGATAACGCCGCACCTTTACTTGTAGAGTTGGCTGCTTCTAGGTAGGTAATAATCGTGCTATGTGTAATGGCATACAGTCACTAAAATAAAGAAAGGCACTCAAGGCCTGTGAACAGTATACCACGCTCATGCGATCGATTGAAACAAATCAATTAAAAGAAACCAACTAATGTTGTTTTTTAAATCTTCATTTGTTTTCTCTCTTCATTATTGACTTCTAAGAAATTTCAATTGTAGATGTGACTTTTTGGTGCTGGATAACTCAATTTAACGGACATACTTGGAAAACCTTATAGAGGTTTCACTTGTGCATTTACTGCTCGATCGACAGACACTCAAACTACTCAGAATACGTGACCCACATAACATGAGCTAGACTATTCACTTTTACAAACAAATTAAGTCTCTTGAATCACTTTCTTCAACCACCAAGACTGACTGTCCTTCACCAAAAAGCCCCATTTAACTTCTTTTCCTTTTTAATCATTCTTCCCTCCTCAGACCTTTTGATCCTGACCGTATATCATTTTAAAAGCATTAAGCAATCACATCCATATTTGGCCGCAGTCACATCCATATTTGGCCGCAGTCACATCCATATTTGGCCACAGTCCAATTTCGAAGGAACGACGGTTGGTGCTCCCCCACTCGTACAATGAACTGTCCCTCTTCGTTAAACTAGCATATGTTAAATACGGAGAACACTGTTTATCTTTTAATGAAACTGTAAAAAAAACTCCTTATCGCCAGACCGAATTAAATTAAAAAAACATTTCTCGTCTCGACGATTCATGGTTAAGAGGAAAAATGTTTTTTTCCTAAAATATACCAAACAAATATGCATAAAAATACATGCATCGCAATCTTGTATGAATTTTGCATCCAGTACATATTACTTTTGCTCAGAAAATATGAGAAGGAGCACCTCTCTTTAAGGAGTGTAACTTCGGTGTAGGTTAACCGATTTTGACATAATTGGTCTCATTCTAAGCGTGTAGTAATCAGATTTGACATAAATTGAGTATTTTTAGTATACGTGATTAGTGGTAGAGGGCGCGGTTTGACATGAAAATAAACTTTGCAGATTTTCTTGAAAATTTCAAATGAAACGATACAATTATTATATGATATAAGATGAAAAAGTGAAAATATCAATGAAAACCGCATTTTGATATCTGTTTCCAAAGCGGAAATATGGCACATCCACAAATTTAAACTGCAATATTTATATTCATCAAGTTGGATTTGAAACAAAAGAACACATAACAAGCGATAATTAAAATTAACACTCAAATTATGAGCAACAAATAAATTATTCAAATTTTAAATCGGAGAAATATAAATTACATAATAAAAGAAACTATGAACTAGTAAGAAAATATGACAAATGTAAATGTTCAAAATGTGTGATTCTTTTGTGTTAAAGCCAGCTTAGATGAATATTGCAATTTCCATTTGTAAATGTGTGTATTTTCGCCCTATCTCTGCTTAGGAAACAGATATCAAAACGCGGTTTTTACTGATATTTCCACTTTTTCTACCACTAATCACTTTACCACAAAGACTATTGATGTAAAATCTGATGACGTGAAGAGAGCTCTTTCCAATAAGACCAATTATGTGAAAGTCTTGTTCCTAACCTAAAATTTAGGCCAAAGAAAATTTTATACCCTCAACATTTTATTTTTTTAAGCTAATTTTTCCGGAATTATTTTTGTTATATAATTTGTAAAAAAGGAAGCTTTTAATGCCGCCGTAAATGTTCGAAATGTTGACCATCACGATATATATCTATCTATGTCATATATATCTCAAGATATCGAGATGCTGTTTTCGCGAGCTTGTTTAGGCATCATTTAGCTACTTTTTCATGGGGAAAAAAATCGAACCAATGCATTTAATTTTTTTGAGAAAATTAACCATTTCTGTCGGAATGTCGAAAAAAGCCCTGAAGCGGTGACATGTGAAACTAACAAAACTTCAAATATTATAATATTTGTAGCTGAAGAATAGCTCTTTTGAACTAACCCGAGTGTGTTTAAATTGGGTTAGCCGTTTCGAAGATACAGGGTGTTCTTTACGGAAACCTTTGATTACCCCCCACCACTTCAGTTTTAGAGATACAGGAATTGTCAAGCAAAAAAGGTTCAGATTATCGTCGACTTCAAAGACCGGACATTTTTTTGTTAGGTTAATATAGCGGAATTCACGGAAACATCACTTTTTTAGAATCCAGATTGCAGTTACGCCCCCTAGCGGCCATTTCAGAAACTTAAAAAGATTTTCCAGTTTTTTCTCGTGGCCGTTTTAGTAATAGAATTTTTTTTCCGCAAGCCTCTACGATGGATAGGTTCTCAGATACAGTACCTCGCATTCTTAGTTGGCCACCCTGTACAATGGCAACCGGTCGCTAAACCACCCAAAAGATCCTGTCCAGCTATCTCAATTTAGTTCAGAGATACTAACAAAACCTTTAAAAAAGTCCACCAAATTAATTTTTTAATTAACACCTGATATAATTATGGGTACAAAATAGAATGAAATTAACATAAAAACGGATCGTAATTTGGGCTCGATTAAACGTAAAGCTAACCATTTACAGATGAAACAAAGTCGATTCAACATCGATCAATCAAATAAGCTGATAGGCACTCAGGGCCAGATAACATACCGCGCAACAAGCGATTGATTAAACAAATTTAATTTAAAGAAAGTTCTAATTACTTACGTGAAATAATCCTTATCATCCCGTCGTAATAGTTTTTCAACAAACAGGCGGACTAACACATAAAACAAACACCAAGCTCAATGACGCTTCGGAACTGACTCTTTTCAAATACCCTGAAATACGGCATAGGTACACAAAAAAAATCGCTACGTCTCAACGTCGACCACCAAAAAAGCTTGAATAACGTCCTCCTTTCCTAAATTAACTTCCGCATATTATTTTTTATTTGGCGCCCAACGTGGGGCGTCAGGAAAACGGAAAATTAGATCAAAAAGGTAAAAAAATTTCTTTTGGTACTCAGACATTTATACAGGAAAAGGAAATTTGTACTGTTGTGAAGGGTTAATAGAAAATTATCTCAATAAAGAAGAACGTTTAAAAAAAGATGTCTACAATGGGGATGAACACCGAAGACGAATATGTCACTGAAATCGGATGTGAAGGCGGATTTGAATTAACAGTTGGAAGTTCACCAACAGAACCAAGTCAAAGGAATTCAAGACCAGAAACTGCAAGAAGAAGTTGTAGTGAAGTCCAAGATTAAGGGAAGAAGAGGTTCATCAGGTGTTGGCGCATTTAATGGCAACTCGCTTTGCGAATAACAGGATCTATCATTGGAGTTTGATTTTGCAAGAGTATTCATTTGAAATCAAGTACATAAAGGCACAGATATACACAAACAGATTACTAACTTTATGCATTTAATGGAATTTAGGTATACAGTGACAGTGTAATCATACAGTGGTGATATTTTCTTTTGGTAATTGGGAGATCCTGTATATTTTGGGCGAATACATCAGATTAATAGAAATTCCCCTGGAAACCAAAGTGATGAATTTATCTTGCTGGACACAATTGTGGTAACATTATTGTAACCATACCAGAATCTACTAATTTGGTTAAACCAATCAGCTCAATCATAAATTGGAAAAAACGTGGCCGACATGACGCATTATGGCCACGCTGTCTTTAAACAGTCACTGTATACCTAAATACAGTGACTTTGGCGTCAATAGAGTGTCTAGTTTTTGATTGGTTGTTGAGATCGGCGGCCATGTTGCAATGAAATATATATGTATAATATTGTATTATAGTGCACGCAAATGTATTGCCTAGTTCTAATTTGAATTTTTGATGCAACATGACGGTTGGGCTCCTATAGTCATCACTGTCTGTTTATAAAGTCACTGTATTTCCGTATATAGTGATCAGAAGGAGATCAGAGGTGCTTTCTTTCGGTGATCCAAATGCGTTTGGATTGTCAAATCACGTTCTTTCGAAGTGTGATCTTATGATCATGATTGCTAAAATCGTGAACAAACTGAACATAAAAGTTTTATGACACTAATTCCTAACCTATAAATGTATGGATATTTTTGCTCAAATGTTAGATTAGTCAATATTTGTAACTGAAGAGAAGCATAATCGTGCAAGTACTTCCACTTCTATTTAAATTATTTTCATTATCCAAACAAAAAGTACGTAATTCAAATGTAAATGTGCACTACGTAAACTTAACCATACTTTGATTTAAATTCGCGCGTTCTTTCGTAAAACGTGATCCTACGAATCACGATCTCGAAATCTTGATTTCGAAGTAGCCGAAAGAAAGCGCCTCAGATCTATTAGGACCAATGAGCCATTACCAATAGATTATTTGACCAACCTACCTAAAAGTGAAAAAAAAAAGTAACTGAGAAACCATGGTGAACTTGGGTAAAGTTAGGGGAGAGAGGGGCAGCAATGGAAAAAGGTTAAGTTTCATGTTAATTAAATTAAATTCAAGAAACATCCATAATTCCAATGGTTTTGTTTAGTTTTCAAGGGGGTTTCTATGTACTTCTCGATTTTCTGAATCAATTTAAGGGCAAAATTTGAATTTCGTATCAAGGGACTAGATTGATTCAGTTAGTTTGATCAAAAGGCCTTCCTCTCTCTTGTTTAAAAAATTTCCCTTTCTTCTGTTCCTCTGTCCTTAACAAAATATTGCGCCTTCACAAGAATTAACATCTACTAACTTCGGCGATAACACGTACTTATCTTGAAACTAATTAGCTTATGTACTGAAGAAAAGTTCTTTGCTACGACCGGAGAAAAACAAATATTACGCAAATAATTCCTAATTGAATAAATCTAGCCCCTTAACACATAATTTAAATTTATAATTACCAAAATAATCTACGCTTTAGAAATAATTGAAATTATACAGCGTGGCCCAACAATGTTACAAAAATACCCACATCTAATAAATGAAATCTTTTCATTGCAGATTGCTACGCGAGGTGCGAACTAGTGAACTCCGAACGATGTGCTTACAAGTACTAATAGCTGCTTTATACTACAACCCTCAACTGTTATTCTCCGTACTAGACAAATTGCCAGATTTCACAGCACACTTTGTTAAGCAATGGTTACACGATGCAGACTGTTTCCTTGGCATTCACGATCGTAAGATGTGCGTCTTGGGACTGTGCACGTTAATTAGCATGCCCGGCAGACCTAGCACGTTATTAGAATTGGCACCGCAAGTCGTTCCGGCGATTGTCCTACTGTTCGATGGACTCAAGAGAGCTTATGCCGCTAAAGCGCAAGAGGCCGCGGAGGAGGAGGAGGAGAGCGATTGTGATGATGACGACGTCGAAGAAGTCTTAAGTTCGGACGAAGACGATATCGACGAGCAGGGACAAGTAAGTGGCATTTGATGCGACTCACGTTTAGAGGTGGGAGATTTTCACTTTTAAATTTGAGTGAGATGTTCTTCCAGTGTGTGTAACATTAGAACTAAAAATTCCCCAGTTAGTAAAAAGATTATTAACGTTACACGTACTGGTGGAAAAGAAAATCGATTTTAAGCCAAGCACTTACTTGTTAGGAATACTTGGAAAGTTTGTCGAGAAAGGCTGTGAACGCGGGCGCAGCGGCGGGGATGCAAATCACAGCGAATATCACAGACGACGATGAGGAAGATAGTGATTCCGACTCAGATTATGAACCCAATGAGGAAACCGCATTGGAAACTTATACCACTCCTCTCGACGAAGATAATTGCGAAATTGATGAATATTTTGTGTTTAAAGAAGTCATGCAAAGTGAGTATTTGCGTTTGTATTCTGAGCTTTCATGTTAATTGTTTCAGGACTACAAAGTACAGAACCAGAATGGTATCAAGCTTTAACCAATAACCTTACGGAACAACAGAGTAAGGCTCTTATGGAAATTAGTTTATTAGCTGATCAACGAAAGGCGGCACGCGAAAGTAAAAAGATTGAACAACAAGGAGGTTTGTACTTTCGTTATATTCCGAGGCTATTCCCTAATCTAATGCACCTGTATTGTAATTACCGGTGTGTCTTGATAATTAGGGACAGATTACATTTACCACAGTACGGCTTAATGGTGAAAATACCATTAAGATATGTCGTTTGGTAGTACAACTTTTGTTTAGGGCTATTTATACAGTGTCTGAAAAGTATGGAATATATTATATATATTTTTGTAAATGACAAGATATGTCTTTGCCAACTTATTTGGTAATGTTTCAAAAATGTAAAGTACTAAAGTACAAATGCCACCAGGGGCGCTTTTGAAGTTCATTTTGTTCGCGTTCTACAAGCAAGTGTGCATTAGGGTACCCTGGTGTTTTCAAAAAAACATTTTTAAACTCGGAGTAAAAGCACAAAGACACAACTTGGCTATTTTAAATGGAACGCTACCTAAATTGTATTACAATAATGGATATTACTCTATGTTTTTGTTGGTAGCCATGTCTAGGGATATTATCTGATATTTTAGGTGCGTTCGATTATCCGTTTCAGGAGTGAGCAGAACATACAGTGCAAAAGGTCATGTGATCACTGGGGCAAATTTAATAACTGTACAATAAACAAACGGTATGTAGCGGATGGCATAACCTATAAATTTTGTACAATTTGGCTGGTCAAGTACTAAACCATGGGAATGTGTGGTAATATTCATTACAGACGCAAATGATGTCCAAATTATCTTTATGAAATAAATCGCAAACAAAAACAATCAAACAGAGGTTAATTTTTAGGTTAAAATAAACATGACCATGTGATCGCGTCTATTGCTCTCTGTCTGCACTCTCTCACGAGATGGAATGTTTGGAGTTAACTCCTTTCACTCTGTTTTGTAATAAAAAACGATACGGAGTTAACACTTTTTCTGGTGCACCAATAAACGAACGCACCTAATATAAACACAGATCTTGAAATTCACGACTTCCTAAAAAATATATCCAAAAGTGGTTTGTGATCCTCTTATTCTCGCCATATTTGTAAATGCTATCCCGCATATTACTTTTTATTGTGAAAAATTCGTATTAATCACCTTCTTTTTAGGTTACGTGTTCACGCAGCAAACTGTGCCAACTACATTCAATTTTGGTGGAAGTGGATCAATCGGCGGTTCATGAGACCTATATAATTTTTATGGTGTCTAAGCAACGGCAATTTTTTATTTATTGACTGAAACGTGATTAGTTGTACAGCTGGTTTATTAACAAAAAAAGTTTTACTTCTTATTCTTGATTGTTTTCTCTTTTTTTTGTAATTAGTACTGATTATGTATTAAGTGCCTTTTTATTATTCTGTGTATTTAAACCTCTAAATTAGACACAATGAGTAAATAAAAAATAGCTTTTTATTCCTTCAGCGTTGCATATTATTTTAACATAAGTATTAACCCTCTTCATTTCATTGATAATAAATTTCTCTTATTACCCGATGAAACGAGACTTCATGGCGGCAGAGTTATACACTGTGATCAGACAGTAATACGAAACTTAGTTCGGCAATCATCTAAACACAAATTAAGTGTAAACTTATCAATACTGCAGACAGCTTATTATACATTAGAAACCATCCGCGATTTACATCGTGAAGTAAAACCTTTGAAACTTATCTGTTAAAGTCAATTTTGGAACCCGATTTAAATTAATAACAAAACGACACATTTTGACAAAGTTACGAAATCACTTCAGGCAACGATCAAAGTAAGTACCGCCAACATAACCTCCTCGCATAGCCTTCTGGACATTCTGTTCGAATAAACGGCGATTGCTCGTTAACACTTCCGCAGCCTCCTTATTTAAGGGGTCTTCCGGATTTGGCTCCAAAAATAAATATTGTAGACCGTAGACGATACTATTTATAGTTAGAACAGGCTTCCAATCCTCTCGTAGTATATTGAGACAGACGTTACCCTGTTGGTCTATGTTCGGATGATAAACTTGAGTTTCACACTTCACCTTTGGAGGTTCGTGTGGATAATTAGGGCCCACTTTGAAACTAAAAACAAATCGACCAGTTCGATAGAATCCTTCATCCGGACATATGATCAATTTGAAAGACAGCAAATCGTCGGCATCGGGAAACTCTGTGTTGCAGGTCTTTGGTAGATTCAATTCGTTTATATCTGTAAAAATAAGCGACTAGTGATCGTGTTTGTTGGAAGAAAACTTACCCTTTGTAATTCTAAGCTGAGCTGCAGTGGCCTTCTTTTGATTATTACTCCTTGGAGATGACTCTCCATCCTTCTTCTGTTGCTTTAGTGAAAACAATTTTATCATATTTAGAGAATGTGTTTGAATTGTATTATAGTTATACGTATCCAATTGGAAATTCAGTATTATTTCCTTACTATTAACAATTTACATATGCATAATTATTTGTGAACTGTCAAGATTGGAAACAAAAAAACTCGCAATGAACTTGGAATATTTATCCACCAATCACAATTAGGAACACAACAAAGGCTACGTTCAACTATTTAACCAAATTTTTCATATGTAACTATGTTCATTCTAATCCTAAAAATGTTCATTAGGCCGGATTGGAAGGGCTGATGCCATTGAATGAGTAGTTAATTACTTATTCAATGCTGCTTATTTTCAAAACTAGGTTGTTATTAAATTAGGGCTTTAAAAGGTTTATACAGGGTGTACCATTATTTCCAAATAAATTAATTGTTCAAAATGCTTCGTACCTATACAAGCCGAGGGCCACCACGGGGATCTCGGAAACTGTAAGAGATAGGTAGTTTCAATTTGGCGTATTATGATGCTTACCAGCTTAACAAAATGCTGTATGACGACTGGTTCTTTATTCGGTGTCGCTACTCGCGCCTCTACCACAATTACATTGCTGTTGTATATAAATTTATTTATTTGTGCTTTGTAAAGTAGGTAGTTTTTATTGAGTTAACGTCACGTTTATGTTTTTGTCATCACCGATTTGTACGGACAATTCGTTGTCAATCAAAATTTTGCTTTTGCTAGTATAAAGTCGTTTGAATTATTGATTTTTATTTACTATCAATTACTTAGGGTTTTAGTATACGATTTAGTGTCAGGCGTTAGACATTGCTACCGCAATATTATTGTGCCGTGCTATTCACGATCCCACTTATTTGTTTGTGTTATTCACTGTTACAGATAAGGCAGAAAAACGCACTTGTGAGCTCAAAAGGTCATCACATCCAGAGTTTACATGTATTTTTTTTATGTTCGATGACTCCTTGGTATAACGTTTGATTACCCTGGTTTTCTATACCATTCATTTGTAATTAATACATTCATTTGATAGTCATTTATGCGCGGAAGCCTGTTTATATATTGACCCTGACTACGAGATGATCCCCCTTTCTCCTAAATTTTGATTTAAATTTAAACATTGACATTTCTGATCTAGATATTATTACAATGTCCTATTTGTAATATTTTGAGATTATTTATTAACTTATTCAATGTGACATCAATTCTTGTTTATATTCTACTCTGTCCATTATTATGTTTATTTAGCTTATTAAGACCAGAACAAGGATCTTTTCGTCTGCTTTGTTCCCCCTTTCGGTAAGTATTATCTTTTCTCTTTTGGAATTTATGAAAGATTAGTGGCACCTATATCCGGTTTACTATTAGGTACTAGGTACATTTCCCTTTTGCTTGGTTTTTGCCAGTGTATAAAAACCCCGAATATTCACCCCGACCCACCTCTATTTTGCCTGAGCTTACCGTGTGCGTATTATCGCGTGGTAATTTTGTTGCATTTACTCAAACATAACACTCTAATAAATATTTTCTTATTAAAGTTTTCAACTGACATAAGCTCGCATCCTGATTTTCAGAACTGTAGTATGATCATTAAATTTCCTGCATTTTTCTGTAAAAGTAGCAATACTGAGGGGTATGTTACCTAAACACACATAGCCTATGCAAGCGCTCGTAGTGGTAACCGTAAACAGCCGTTAAATGACCGTCCCCTTAAAGGGTATTCAAGGCACATACACGTTTATTAACAGAACAGAAGAATTTATGTAATCATGAGAAAGAAGATTGTTTAGTATGATGTAGCCCGCTATGAGTCGATTAACCATGTATACCGTGGAGAAAGCACCTAATACACTTTCGATTCCTCGCTGTATCTGTTTCTTTCTCGTCTCATCTTAAACAACAAGGATGGTTTAAACCGTCACATTTTATGTGTTGTACGAGTGCGCAAGAAATTGAATGATAAATTGTGATCTTTACAATAAATATACAATGCTTCTACCTAATTAGAAAATTAAGTTAATTGGGTGTTCAAGCTAATTCAAGACGTCCTCAAGTTCTTAAGAAAAAGACCATTCAGGTAGGATAGGATTAAGGGGATACATTTTCAAGTCTCAAAATCAACAAGATTTAATTAATTCACTTTCAACATTTCAAGTTAATTCAATTTCAATTAAAAACCTGCAAGAATCACCCAATATTATACGTACACTAGAGGTACGCCACTGGTTACGCGCGGTTGAATTTAAAATGTAAACAGCTGACTGAGTAAACAAAAAACTCCTCTATAGAGCACAGAATATTACTGTTCTGTGCTATAGAGACCCTTGTATTTGCCTGAATAAAATCCTGTAATCTATCTACTAATGTGAGTAAAAAAGTGTTATTTATTTTTTTAAATTATCTAAAACATTTTGTAACAATTCAGTAGCTTTCTTCATATTTACTTTACTATCTGGCTTGGATGCGATTATACCTAACAAAGCTTTAAACACTTTCTTCTTGCCTTTTAGGTATTGCTGCAACATTTTCGGATTATCTTCAATTACTTCCTCACAAATTCGCCTAATTTCATTTTCATCATTTATCTGAAGTAAATCGTGGCATGCTACAATCTAAAAAGTGTTTTGTTAAATTTGGAGCTGGCACAGTTTTCAGTAACCTCTTTCACAGTTTTTGAAGTCGACTTTAACATCTCCCCCATCAAGAATTGCACACTTTTATGGCTAACCATTTCGTTTTGTAGCAGCTCGACAATGTCTCCGAAGAAGCTTGGGTTGATTGTGCTAGAATTTCAGTAATGATTTCGAAAGCTACACTCTCAACTTACATTCCATCGAGGTCCATTTTTTCCTTATTAACCAAAGATAGAAAGTCGTTGATCAATAAATTTGCAATAAGTGTCGCATTCAATTTCTTATTCAAGCTAATACTAGTAAATGCCCTTAAAAGTTTCAACTCGTTCTGAAACCAATTTATTAGATAATCTGTTTAATGAGCTTTGCCCGATTACCACTAAAATGATTGCTTGCTCCGTGGTTAGATTACATTCCTCCTTGAGGTGCTTTCGAATCTCATGAGGTAGCTGTGGTATTAGCTTTTTTATGTGTTCCGCATTGACACAACCCCAAGTGGTGGGACCCATTGCAATATATAATGGGGGCAAGTTCGGTTCTGGCATATACCGATAATCCTAAATGTTTCAGTTATTTTGAGGCTGTGAAGTTAGCACATCATTACCAAAAACTGGCAAAGGTCGTAACAGTTCTATACGAATACTTCAGTTCTAGTTGCAGTTACTCTCATTCAGAACCTTTAATAAAATCTATCTAGAATAGGATAGAACTATTGAGAAATTTGCCAATTTTCAATCATGATGTAAGTACTTCACAGATGCATTCATTTGCCATCTACAAAACAATCCTCACTTGCTTCTCTTCCTTGTCTCTCATGGACACGGTTACTCTACTATCAGAGTTCCAAGAACGGGTCTCATTCACTACATTTTCGCCGACCTCTAACAGTGCAATTTGTCTTTGTATTTCATAGTTAATTGCCGCAGCAACTGCACGAATTGAACCAATATTTTTTACTTCTGTGCGTATACCTAGTGGCTGTCCTTTTTTGTGCACAGATACATTCGCATCAACACGGAGAGCGCCCTCTAAAATTGCTTTATTTATTTACCAAAAAAGGGGTTGGTGTACCTTCCATTTTACATGAGCATGTTTGCAAACACTCAAATACATTCACCAATTCTTTTACAAGCGCAGCAGCTTCTTCCCCATTGCATAAATCAGGTTCAAAAACCAATTCCATGAGTGGAACACCTGCTCGATTTAAATCGACCAAACTACGCGTTTCATCGTGAAGACTTTTTCCACTATCTTGTTCTAGTTGAATCTGTTTAATACACGATCTTGCCGCGTATGAGTGTTTATGCACGCCGGGCGCATACACGTGGAAATCAATAAAACCATTGCAGGCGATTGGCGATCTCTGTTGTGTTATTTGGTATCCTGCCTAGTCGAAAACTGAGTTAGTTACACAATTCTAACAGTACATACCGGAAGATCCGCGTAGAAGTAATGCTTTCGATCAAATGTTGAAATGGGATTAACGCGACAATTTAAAGCAAGTGCAGTGAGCACGGCGGCTTCGACGCAACGTTTATTTAATACTGGTAGGGTACCCGGTGTGGCTGCGTCAAAAAGGGATACGTTTCTGTTAACTGGATTTGTAAATTCAGTTGGAGATCCTGAAAATAGTTTGCTTGTCGATTGGATTTGTGCGTGTACTTCTAAGCCAACAACGCTCTTCCATTTATCACTACAATGATATTTATCAGTTACAATCCTTGTAAAATCGACCAATTTACGTAGAAAAATTTCTGCAGCGCGATATACCATTCAAAGAACATTTTGGAAATTTTAAATTTGAAAACATATTTGTAGGTTAAAAGTGTTTATTGTACCGCTTACGGGTGCTTACTGCTTTAGGAAAAAAAAGGGCGTCACGTCGTCAAACAGTGGCGTAGTACAGAGAACGTTAAAACGTAGGGGTAGTACAAATGTTACATTTCACATCGATTTAAACTCCGTCCAATGCAACAAATTGCATAAAATAGTAATTTTACGCAATTTTAATGCATATAACGGTCTAACAACCTCAATACACGCTTCAATGTTTACATGTAAATACACGCAAAAATGCGTGTGTTGACGTCACGCATAAAACTCTAAAAGCCGCATGCGTAAATGGCAACGGCGAAAGGAGTCATAGTTGTGCAGAAATGCAATAATTCACCTATATCGATAACAAATCAGAAGTGGGATTGTAGTGGTTTGAGTTAATAAAACCCTACGGTTATTTTCAAATGAAAAGGTACAGCAATGCAGGATGTCAAGATGGCGACGAACGATCACCCGTTGACCAACCGGATTCTGGTGAAACGCCAATGCGTGACAACGTAAATCCATAACGAAATGCATCTGGTGAGAATCGAAACGACAATCAAGATTTTATGCCATTTTTGGTTACACAAGCACAATTAATGTCACAGATCATGGAACGTTTAAATGCCACCACGCCAACAATGGGTACGTTCAGCCGACGCAACTGTTGACTAAATAAACCCTAAACGTGTTTTAGTAGCAAGCGTCAACATATTCCTGAACGGTTCTGTTGACATAACGGGCCGTATGAATAAAAGTAAGCAAATGCTTATACTTGAAAAATTCAAACTAAATACTCGTAAGTGCTCCTTCGCACTGGGCGACTTAGCAGCGCTTCTACGCAGAAGGAAAGGACGCAGTACAGCGCTGCTAAACCATGCTAAACAGATCACTATGAAGGGGCAGTTACGAATATTTACTTTGAATTTTGCAAGTATATATAAGTAAATATGTTGTAAGAAATATTGCCGTTTTTAAGACTAGCTTAGTCTTAAATAACGTAGAATGAAACAGGCCTTAATTTGATACCCGGTTCATTAAAATTGATCCAAAGGTTATTTTTCTATTAAACTTCAAACTCGACCGCACATACTTTTTAATCCGACAGTAGGCATTGTGACGAAGACACAATAAGCGTCATCGGCTGCACCGGAACAAAAGAAAAATGGGGAGTCGAGACTTGTCGATAACAGGAAATTGAATAGACAAACGAAGAAGCGACTTTCCGTAGCAAACATAGACGTTGAGAGTTGCGGAGAGCTAATGAGCAATACTTCCAGGTGCCACTTTCTGAACAAGCAAAGGAGAAGACTGCATTCATCAAGAGTGACGAAGCGGCCAATCGGGACAATTAGCACCTATGTGCCTCGGGCTCATGAACGCACCGTTTGCGTTAACAAATGGTGCTACCGAGCCACATCCACTGATTACATTTTTACTGCCATCTCGTGGTTAATGTAGGTTTCCTTTTGTCCATCATCAAAAGTTGATTCAACATGGCAAGTATAATTTAATCTTTTTTATTTAAAATCATCCTCAATCTTTTCATCTAAAAACCCAATGCAATCCCTAATTTAATTCTTATATTTTTTTCGTACGTACGTAAATTGCTTTATTTTATACTTTCAGGGTATTGATATCAACCATAAATACGACCGAAAGGTTAGGAGAACAGAGCCCAAAAGTGAAGATGTCTATCTCAGACTTCTTGTTAAGGTAATATACTTCCATTGCCAATGAATTTTATGTATAATTGCTTGTTTTAGTTATACCGTTTCTTGGCTCGTCGTACAGGTGCAAGATTCAATCGTATTATACTTAAACGTTTATTTATGAGTAGGATCAATAGACCACCAATCACGATTGCAAGAATTGCATCGCAAATGAAAAAACCGGGGCGTGAAGGTTTAACTGCTGTAGTGGTTGGTACCGTTACTGACGATGTCAGAATTTACACGCTACCTAAGATGAAGATATGTGCATTACGCTTCACAGAGAAAGCACGTGCCAGAATATTGGAAGCCGGTATGTCAGTTTTAGAATCGTGATCGGAAAAATTTGTGAATAAATAGTGATTTAAGTGCGCACATTTTTCTGACGTTATCATTTATTTTACTGTGGCTTATATGGGCTGTTATTTTCAGGTGGAGAAATTATGACATTTGATCAGTTGGCTCTTAAATCCCCGACCGGTTGTAAAACTGTTTTATTACAAGGACAACGTAATGCCAGAGAAGCTGTGAAACACTTTGGGCTCGCACCTGGTGTGCCACATTCTCATACTAAACCTCACGTTCGTTCAAAGGGACGTAAATTCGAACGTGCACGTGGGCGTAGGCCTTCATGCGGTTATAAGAAATAGATTCTGTTACTTTAATTTGCTGACATTACCTTTTATATGATAATAAAGAAGTGTAAGATACAGCATTATTGTTTTTTATTGTGTGTTTTAGACATATTTAAAGAATTAGTTTTTTTTTACTATTTCATGTATAAATACGTGTAATAAAAGTAATGTTACAAGATTATACAAATGGAACTTGCTGTAAGTGCATAATCGTGTGATTGTAACATTTAAGTTTCTGCTTTGTGATGGTCTTATTCTGTACCATTTTTAAATTCCACAAATTTTAAGCATTTGTGTTTATTATCACTTAGCCATCAGAATTTAAAATTTGGAACAATTTTACCTAAAGTGCAACATCAAATTAGTAAACAATTCAGATTCGTCCCATCCATCCTCGACCAGTATTGTACCCTGCCTAACTGCATTAAAAATATGCTTTTTTTGTGCGCAAACTTTGGAAGCGTTATCCTTATCCTCCTTAATTTTGCCATGAGCAATCTTTCTCAATACTAAATCTACAGCTTGCAGCTTAGTAATTGACATTTTTTCGGTGTGGCAATCCACTTTCCTTCTTAGTGTTTTACAAAAACTCAATTCCAATTTGTTAAAAAATTCTAAATACAAATTATCATCAAAATTTAAGTTGGAGTTAATTCTAAACACATTTCCCTCCCAACTTTCGATGGGTTTCTCAATCTGCTGTGCCATTTTAAGGATTGTCTTTTCTGGTACCTTATTCTCTCGAGTGCTGTTCCTTAATAACGCTGTTGGTATGTTCACCTCAAAATACACTTCCAAGAATGATAATTCTAATCGTTCCGCATGCTTGTAGTATTCATACCTCATACTTTTAAGGTACATGTTGTCATCGATTATAATAACATGCTTGTGGTTAGTTGGCAAGGTAAGTATGGAAGCCATGAGTTCAGTGGCAATCGCAAATACTTTGCCCCTTTTACATTTGTAACTGATTTCACAATCATTCACTACAAGCTCATCGTATACTACAGTATGAAATTTGTAAATCACATCATCTGTAGATCTTCGGAGGGTGGTATGAAATGTGGTTTTTCCTGCACCCGGTATGCCAATTAATAGCACTATGCAAATTTTCGACATGTACACAGCCTAGACTGTGAAATGTAAACGAAAAGTAAAATAAGTAGAAGATAACCTCACTTTTTTTTAAAATTTCATACTTGAATTTGAATGAAACTAAACGTGACTCCTACCAAGGGTGCATGCGTTGTTCGTGCAGTGGTTCTCAAACTCATTTTTTTTCATCTAACATTGGAGCAAAAATATCCTTGCATTTATAGGTTAGGAATTCGTGTCATAAAACTTTTTCGTACTTCCGAGACTAAAGTGACAACTTCACTCCGTTATGACAAGTACTGAAGTGTCACTTTTTGTCCCGCCGGGATTAAATTTGGACGAAAATCCCGGAAGGATGAAATTACTAACCAGGCAATTTCAGTAGGTTGTTCCACATTTTGTATGCGGCACCACTTCTTAAACGTATCGTACTGCTGCTCATATACTTTTTTGGATTTCGGTGGTATCAATTCTTTACCTAGTTTGGATGCTTTTTATCAATATCAAATGCACTTTTGTCACCCACCACCAAAATTATGACACTAGCAATGACAGTTTTCAAATTATTTTTGTTACCATAGCATAGGGTTTGTCGTACCAACGCAACGTTCCTACCGAAAGAAAGCGCTTTTTTTTTGTTTATTCAGGTAAATTATGGCCCTCCCTTCGGTCGGGCCATAAACTTTACCTTCGGGATTAAAAGTACTACTTCAGTCCCGCGGTATATAATATACTATTATGTTCAGTTTGTTCACGATTTTAGCAATCATGATTATAAGATCACACTTCGAAAGAACGTGATTTGACCATCCAAACGCGTTTGGATCACCGAAAGAAAGCGCTCAAAAAATCAGTCATGCTCTTGAGAGGAGTCACGTTTAGGTTTAAGTCCCCAAATAGTGCAAGTGGCCACAAAAATATGCCTCCAAAAAAGAAACCGAAAAACGTCGATATGAAATTAAATTTTGATTTCTATAACGTCCCATGTTACAACTTAGCCAATTTTCTATTAGGTAAACTGCTTGTCAGACGAATCGGAGATGATATCCTCAAAGGGCGAATTGTTGAAACCGAATGTTATTTAGGTGGAGAGGATAAAGCTTCTCGTTCATTTGGAGGACGGTAATCGAAGCTGATGTAAATGTATGTTAATTATTTACATGTAGGAGAACTACGGCTAACGAACCAATGTATATGCAACCAGGGACGGCTTATGTTTATATGACTTACGGAATGTACCACTGTTTCAATATCTCGAGTGCAGGACCGGGTGCTGCAGTTTTATTACGAGCGATACATCCCATAGAAAACATTGATATAATGACAGAGTTTCGTGGAAGTAAGTTTAGCATATATGTTAAAATAAAAACAGATTTTTACTCATTATATTTTAGAAAATTGTAAGAGTAAGTCGAAGAAATTTAAAATTGACGAATTGGGAAATGGGCCATCAAAGTTATGCATGAGTATGAGTATAGACAAAGAAACTAGTAATAAACTCGATTTGTGTACAAGTGATACTTTGTGGATCGAAGAAGATCTTGATTATGACAATGATTTTAAGACTGTTATTTCGTCTCGTATTGGTATTGACTCGGTCGGTGAAGAATGGGCGAAAAAGCCGTTGAGGTTTTACATTCTGGGTGATAGTAGTGTTAGTAAACGAGATAAACAAGCTGAAAATCAATTTCTTGATCTGCCGAAAAGTTAAAATACGTGGTGTGCAATCTTATCTCACAATTCAGTATTATAAACAAAAAAATTTTTAACACGTGTATATTTGCTAATTTTGCTGAAGTGAGGAACCATCCTCCAGCCGAAAACAAGGGTGTGTATACTCAGACTCAGTTTATGTCTTGCAATGGTTTCTAAATAAAATATTACTTACATCAATTATCTAAAAAAGAGAAGTTCATTTTTATATGGGAAGACTTCCAAAGAAAACCCCCACAATAAGAAACTTCTAAGAAAAGGTATGCTAGTAGTCCAGAGAATTTACAAAACATTTAGGGCAAGAGACCCCTTCTCTCCTCATTGAAGAACATGCTGTGTGTTGTGAGGAATACCCTTTTAAAACATTTTTTTAATATACTCTATCTGTAGTTCAGTTTTTTTTAACACTGCAATTTAAAATTTAAATAATAATCCAACGGCAGTGGCTATTCTTCCTCCACACGCATTCTTGCTTCGAGCATTGAATATAGTTATAAATTCAATGCTACAGTATCATTGTACGAATGTATACAATGCTAAATACTTCCATAGGCAACACACCTTACTCGACGATGTTGATTCCATTTAGAAAAAAAATGTATTGCATGTACACTGAAAACTGTTCAGCCGTCCAAAAACAATTTTTTTGATCGATGACATTTTTTCGCCAAAGCCTAACCAACCTAAAAACGTTCCGCGGCGAATCATATGTGAGCGGTTTGATTTTTATATCTGCCTGTTTTCTAATATTGTGCGTCGTAATCTCGTGAATGTTGTGTCATGAAATAAAATTTATTGAAGATATTAAGTTTTATTTAGACGATAATGGTAAATATATTACACATACGTTGCCTTTTTAAGCACCAACTGACTGACCTCGAGATCTTACCTCGTGCGCAAATGTGGTACGATGGGTTGCATATGCGCGCGTTGCCCGCTTCGGCTTGTGCATGTGAGTTTAGGCCATTTAAGCACTGCCGTTGCCGGTGTCTAGAGACCCATATATGGTATAAACATGCATTTATATTCTAGACCGAAAAAAATGTGAATTTGAATTACGACCAACATTTGATTTTGCAAACAGCATTAAAAGAGAGTCTCAATTTGCACATTTAACTATCACCATTAATTTTATTAGAGGTAGGTAATTACAATATCAGAATTAAAAAAAAAATGATTCCACTCCCATTGTAGCATTGCATAAAATGGCAACTAATGGTCCCAAACCGCTGGTGTTTTGTGGACCATCGGGATCGGGGAAAAGCACCATGCTAACGAAACTATTGGTCGACTACCCAACGCATTTTGGGTTTAGCGTAAGCCACACCACCCGATTGCCGCGTGAGGGTGAAGTGGACGGCGTCCATTACCACTTCACTACTGTTAAACAAATGAAAGAGGACATTAACGAGGGTAAGTTCATTGAGTCGGCCACTTTTGGTGGGAACATGTACGGCACCAGTATCAAGGCGGTCGAGGTGGTTCGTGATAGCGGGAAGGTGATGCGCTTCATTTACACCAGGCTGCTGTAAAGCTCCCTTTACAGGTGTGCATATTGGACATTGACGTGCAAGGTGTGAAACAAGTAAAGCAGACCTCGCTGAATCCGTGGTACGTATTTGTGAAGCCCCCATCTCTGGATGCGCTTGAGGAACGATTAAAAAAGCGCAAAACTGAGAATCTCACAAGTCTGACTTTGCGTCTGCAAGCAGCACAAAAAGAAATCGAATACGGTCTGCCATTATCCATTATCGTTTTGCCTTGTATCTAAATTGGATTACATTACAGGTGAGGAAGCGGGAAATTTCGATTTATTAGTCATAAATGATGACTTGCACCACGCATATGATGAAATAAAAAAGTTTGTTGAGGACAAGGTTTTATGTGGTAATAATATTGGATAAACCAGTTACATAGGTTTAAATATAATAGATCAATCATTCACTATTTATTTACCTCACTAATGTTGAACGTTAGGAGCTGCAATTTAGGTGTAAATAGATTTTAAAGCCAATGATGGCGACGCTGTTTACAAGGGCCCAGAATTGTTAACTTACATAATGAAATCCTATTTTAGAACATTTTTTTGCAATGAAACAATTGTATTTTTATTTATTGAACTTTATGATTTCATTCCTACAGTTACACTATAGAAAAGGATGTGGAGTGTAAACGAGAATAGTAATTTGACAATAAAAATTGAATGAGTCTGGGCTTTTATGTGCATGTAAAGTTTTTGTAGATAAATAAATTTAATTGTTAAATTAGCACCTAGTAGAAAGATAATTAGAAGTTGCCTTAAGTTAATGTAAGTAATTTATTTATGTAGGAGATTTATTTTAATTGATGTTTTTTAATTTATAATCATTGTTAATTAAACTGTACACATATTTAGATAATGTAAAGAATATTAGAAGTTACAGACATATATTGTATTGACCAGTTGTAAACCACGTGAAAATAAATGTATCAAGTATGTTTGACGATATAACATTTATTCTCTTTGAATCGAATGCAATTTGTAATGGGCATTTTGGAGGAGTATTGGCTTATGAACAAAACGTGCACACCAGACCTCTGTTCAGAAATGGTTACTCATCATTTGAAGGATTAGATTTTAGTGAGTGGAAAGTAACATCTTTAATAAAATAAACATTGCAGTGCAAAGGGAACAATTTCAGAAAAATTTCACTTTTCAGTAAAAAAAATTGAATAGAAAACGCACAAATGAATATTTGTTAACTCATAAATGCAAAGAAACTTACTGAAGATCCCGATTTTTTTAAATTTGCAAAAATGATAAAAATATGAGATAAAGGGGAACCATCCCGTGTGACAGTAGCAAACCAGCAACCAAAGGCATTTTTAGATACAACCAAAGGTATGAAACCATTTTTCCGAAGTTAGCCGAAGATGACGTCACACTACAATCAAAACCACATGAAATAGTGATGTATTACTGCCCGGTTTCACAAACGATGATTAAGGTTAATCAGTGATTGAAAATATTAGAATGGGAAACAATTGAGCCTATAATCAAAGGTGGCTAACATTCTAATATTTTTAATCATTGATTAAACTTAATCATCCTTTGTGAAACCGGGCATATACGTTAAAAAAATCAATGGCTTTTCTTTAAATAATAAGAAATACATCAAGGAAATTAAACACGTTTTGCAAGCGTCAATTGTCGGTGGGTTCCAAAATGGCGGACAAGTCGGCTGTCGTTTGTTTTCTAATTCTACTTTATATTACCATTTTCAAAAAGAAATAAATGTAAACTGCATCCCTTGCAAATGATAACTTTTAGGGGTGTACGGAAGAACAAATCGTCAATTCACACATTTTCACGACACACACGTAGGTACACGTTTTTTGGACGATTTGTACGATATTTTTATGGATGATTAAAAAGTAGGTACCTACATACCTACATATTTAATATATGGTACAGAGCTGCACATTTTTCTTATTTGCACACAAAAAATACAACTGTACTGCTATTTACCGTCAAAACGGAGAATCTGATTAACTCCGAGCGTCCTATCAATTCTTCTGTAGCCAACGGCGTTATCGTTAACCGGTCCACTTCCACTTTTCATAACCCGCACTATATTCGCCTTACTTTAAAAATATTTATCTTACCAACAAAATGTTATCAATTATTGTTTTATTCAAACCGAGTAACTTTTAACATATACAAAAATAATGCTTAACATATAAACTCTAAAAATAAAGAAATTGTACAGAAAGAAACGCCTGCAATCATTTGAAACAAAGTCAATATAATGGCCCACGTTCAATAATAAACAAAAGCGAACAATTTGTCGGATGTCTTCCTCGTGCACCTGCAAACAGGTCGACGTGCGTACTACACTTACCTTGCATATAAACCAAAAATCCTTGGGTGTAGTCTTGAAAGACCCTAGCGCCTATTATTAGTTACCTATCCCGTGATAATAAATTAGGATGGATACGTTTATTAAAGCTTATTGTTTTTGTATTAAAGAAAAATTTCGAATTTGGATACGCCTTTATTAATAAAAGAACTCATATTATATGGGTTTGTCTCTCCGCGTTGTCGCCGATTTCCGCATAAAGAATATTTTTCGATTTCCCCACACTTAGAACGCCGCTATAATTATATGGACCGGCTAGTACTCCACCGGTCATGGCATAAAACCGAAAAAACTTATCGGAAGGCGTCCCATAGAATCGCCTAGCTTTAATTTTTAACTTCAGGATAAATAAAGGACAAAAATATCGACATATTACAAATTAGTCACTGCTAATCCAACGTTGCCGTTGCATGTAGGTATCGATCCTATACACCTCTATATCTAATTGGTATTTCGCATGATGAATCACAATTAAGACGTTCAATTGATAACAAAATGGACTTATTAAATTAGAGCACATTAAACAAATAGAAGAACACGACTATAGACGATTTTTTTTAAAGAGAACATAGAATCCTATTATCCGTGTTCACTTAAAAAACACGCCAACCTAATATGTATATCATACATTGCCACGCTTGTGTCACAAACTGAACCAGATTTAATTAGGTTATGCACTAACTTCTAGCTCAGTGAAACGTTCCATTTCTACACAATTCAATATTTATATTTAATTGTATAGCAAATAATTACAATAAATGTTCAAAATGTCGTACTTCATTTTCTAAGCAATACGCCAATAACGATTAGGGGAAATGCACGTACAGCTTCTCTTAAACAATTAGGGTTTAATCAATTACATAATCTAAATTCTTGAAGAAATGAAGCTTGTTTTTTGAAATTCAAAAATCGACCAATCAAAATAACTTTGATTCAGTGCGCACTAGTACCAACCTAAAAGCGCTAAGTCATGTACCTATTAGGTTGACGTGTTTTTTGAAAATGAACATAGGGATAAATGCATTGGATGCCCACTTAAAAAGTTATGTGTATGTTTTTGAATTACTGAAACCATTATATAGTTAGTTATTCAAATTGATTTATTAATCAGTTTTCCTAAATGTGACGTAGGTTTCTACAAACATTTGAATGTTTGTAAGTTCATCTCTAATGACCGATTTTAGCACAGTGTACCTACATTTATTAAATATCCGGTATGTTAGTTACAAACATTAGAAAAGTGGGAGGTGTCTCCAGCTCCACTGACACTTTCGCTTTCACATAAACATAACCAAAAAATTTAATATTTGATTTTTTTAATGAAAATTCAATGTTAAGTAAAAAATTACTAATATACATTTTAGACGATGTCAACAATCACCAAAACTGTAGAGAGCAAGCTTAAGAATAAAGAAAAGAATTTAAAAAAGGCAACCGACTCTAACGATCTAGATACTGTTTTAGACAACGTTAAAAAGATTGATGCGACGTGCTGCTTTACCAAGTGTAAAAAACGTACCAGCGACTTCGGCATAGACTGCAAGTATTGCAGCAGTCGCTTCTGTACAGCGCACGGCTTACCTGAGATACACGGTTGTGGAGAAGCAGTAAGGAGAGACGAGCAGCGTAAATTTCAACATCCCTACACAGCACTGTCTCAGGACAAACATGGGAAAGCTGCTGACAAACTCGCTGTGAAATTAAAGCAAATGCAATTTGAGAGGAAAGCCAAACAATGTACCAGCAAAAGTAAAAAATAAGTTGTTATTTTTATTGTTTATTTAATTTTACACATTCGTCTGCTATTAATATATGTATCAAAAATATGTTGGTGTAATTATTTACTATGTGCAATTAGCAATTTCTCAATTGTGTATGAGTTTTCTGCCAGTATCTCCTTTTGTTTGGTGCCTACTAACTTCATCATTTTCATTACGAGAATGCCCTCCAAAAATTAGTATTACTAAAATTATTGATTTTTTTACATTGTAAATTTAAGAAGTTATCTGTTGCTTTCGTGGAGCTTTCTCCAACTATACTTCTAGTTACTCCGATAGAACCAACGAACAAATCATAGCACCAATGTAAAAGAAAACTTTAAAAAAGCAGAAGCAAAGGTTTTATATATTTTTTTGCTTGTTATATGAAAGCAGTAGTGTTTTTGTTTACCTTTGCCGATTTTGTTTTGTGTTTTTGTTCAGTTCATGCAGGTTCCTTTAGTATTTGAGGTCACTTTGCTTTCTGTAGTCAGTCAGGGTAGTTGAATTTGTTTTAATTCTGTAATTCAAATTTCGTGTTAAAAGGTAATGTGCTTAATTGTAATGGTTCGTTTTATTGTAAATTCTATTGCCTTTAGATACTTGTAGGTTAAGGGAAGGTAACCCTTTCATTTGGTTTTATTTTTACCAATGTTTTCCTATTTTCGATTTGTTTGAGATTGGTCATCTGTTAATAATTTTCATTTGATTGTTTAAACTCATTTGGATTGATTAGCGACTTTAATTCTTTGTGTACGAATCTGACTTTTTTGAGTATATACCTACTAATAACTGTATCGTCTGTGGAGAGATAGATGCCGAAGTGATGAAAGATACTTAGCAGATTCATTTCAAAATATGACTTCAGTCTAAGGTTACCGTATCCAGGACCTTCAGATACCTTCTGGACTGGAGGAGGTCGGACTGATTAACAACGTATTTTATGTACGAGACTTCGGAACGTTATTCTTTCACAAATGGTCAAGTTTTGAAGTTGCTTTTAAATTTACTAGTGTTTGCCATTTTTTATAGCTTACCAAATAAAATAAAATGTTGTATTAAATTAACGTCAGATTTAAATTATTCAAATTCAGGAGTTACTTCCTTGGGTTGTTAATGTTTGTATATTGTAGATGTGATGTGTTTAGCGTTTTCAAATGTTACCTCTCTTACTCCAGATTTTCCCCGTCACGCTCGAATAATGCCGTGCGAGCCAATGGCCAATGCCATTAAATAATTTGAGAGGAAGGCAACAATAAAAATCTGATTTGATTTTGTTAATTTGTTTATTAGTTTTACAAATTCAGTCTGCTGTCATTAATTATACATGTATCAAAAATATTTTGGTGTAAACGTTATTTTAGTAAATTTATAGTGACGAGAACAACACAAAATATTGCCCATAAAAGTATAACGAAGATCCAGACCATGTGCTTAAATGGGCTTTGAAAGTAGTTGGGGGCTGTTGTTTGTATATTTGACGTACAGTATTTTCTAGCGGTCCACACTAGCGCCACTGGAATGATATATTGTATGCATACTCCACCAAAAGATCCTGTGAACGACACCAACGTTGCAACATTGTGTGTAAGTAAACCCACAATAATCGGAGGCACAATGGCCAATGTGGGAAATGTAAGTCGCCTTACAACAAAATGATAACGCTCCAACGAGTGCACGTCCAAAAATAGCGCCTTTAAATTATTCTGTAACGTTATAGCTATTATGGGAAAGCTAGTCGATAATGTAAAAACTGGAAACAGACCTAAATAATACTCGACAATCTTCATAAAAGGGCCCCCTATGTTTAAATTACTCGGTGCAAAATTTAAAGTGTACAAGTCGAATATATAGGAAAAAGCGAAAACACCGGTCAATGACAGTAAGATGTAGAAGGTACAAATTAAAAAATAATCCAAAGCTAATTGGCGCAATATAAACCGCTTCCGCGCGAACGGATTTATTATACCCGGCAAGGAATGGTGGCTCATAAAACTGTAAATGCTAGCACCAATCAGTGCGGGCGTTCCCGAAAAATTAACCACAGGCGGGGACCCTTTCGGTTTAAATTGAATCATTTCGGTGATGGCGATCGTAATCATAATTGTGAATGCAATCCACCTCATCGACGAGGTCAGTATTTGTAAGTATTTGGTTTTTTGAACATTTAGATAACTAAAGGGTCCTACGACAGCTACAAATAGCGCTACAAAAATTCGGTACACTGTCATTTTATCTAAGCCCGTCTGATACCAGCACGGTACGTCGTAGTCATCTGGACCCACAGTCTCGGTAGTATTACATACTATATCACATAACGTTTTCGATATTGCTGTAATGTAAATCGCTAAATCTCCGTATAAATATACGCAAAGACAAATATAAAACAGTGCGCGTCCCACTTTGTTAAAAAATAATCCGGTCATCTCTCCTAATTCTACCTTTTCTCTTAATGTATAGTAACGACTGGGCGTTTGGTTTATCATGGCAGTATTCTCGTTGATATTCTCATCTGTTGAACTCCCGTCGAATGCTTCACTCTCCTGAAATATTACCGTGACAGTTAGTTTCACAATTGGAATTTATATCGAACATCATACAACACTAGATAGGTAACTATTGTATACCTGTATAAAGGGTTACAAGCCATGCCTTATCTGGGATTCGAACTCATGACTGCTGCTAACTAGGCACTCACACATACGATAAAACAATTATCGATATGATTGTCACAAGAATGAACAAGAAGGATTTTTTCCACCTTTGGAAAAAGGGCAAGTACTCATGTGAATTATGTATGTTATACGAGACGGAGCTACACACAGCGAATTTCACTGATTTTAAGAAACTAAAAGATATTGTAACAGTCTTCTTATCCATTTTCTTATGAAGACATAGGAAAAATTCCCACTGAAATATTCATGACCTACCTTCACTATGGTGATCATTTCCATCCAAAGTGAGGGGCTGAAAATAACTTTAGATTTACACCAAAGTGACTGATACAAAATTTTAGCCTTTCATATCTAGCGACGTCTCGCAACGCCGATAGAGACGAGACATTAGACAACCTCGAAAGAGCGCAGAAGTATGTCGGGCGAATTTTTTGTAATAAACCTTTAAATGGACGTTGCTTGCAATAGGAGTTGCCAGTATTACTGGAAGAAGTAACCCTTAAAGAACTTCAAAATATGTGGCTTTAACAAGATGGTGCTCCACCCCACTTTTATCGTGAAGCTAGAGAATATTTAAATCAGCACTATCCTCAAGAATGGATTAGCTGTGGAAGTTTTTGTTGCATGGCCAGCAGATCTTGTCATTTACCCCTTGAGATATTTTTCTGTGGAGTTACGTCAAAGGGATAGATAGGTATGCCTCAAAACCAACGACAAGGACATCAATAGGGAGGCCAATGTCCGGGAAAATATTAAAAGACTTGAAATCTGTATTGAACAAGAAGGGCACATTTTCGAACATGTATTGAGAAAAAACTCATTTTCTTTTGTTACAAAAATTGTGTATTATTAAAATTTTAGTGTAGTATGCTCGGTAGTGTGTATGTTTCATCGTTTACTGTCATACATATGGATATTATAACTTTTTTAAGATTAGAATATAAAACCAGGAAAACCAAAAAATTTCGAAAACTATCAGAGATCGATTTTTTTAACATGAAGTTTTGTAATTTTGCGCCTACAAAGAAAACACACTGTAAATATATTTTTAATCGTTTCATATTCTATTTCATTACTATTTATTTGACTTTTACTTTACCCAGGACAAAAGGTATAGAATAGAGCCTGGAATCAAAATTTAAGTAGTAATTTTGACGCTTGATTCTGCCAAATTCTTCTTATAAATCGAAAATCGAATTATCTTTAAAACTACAAGTTCTTCGTATATTAACCATATGAAATTAAACGCAGAATTAAAAAATGCATTCAAATACAAGGTGTTCCATAAAAAAATGTACCTTCATGGCGCGATACTTTGTGACCGCACCCTGTAGAATTCAAAATATTTTCAAAATGTGGAGAATAATCAACCATATCATAGGTAACACAAAAGCACTCTACCGAAAAATCTTATCTTCAAGGCCTTAAGTTACTTCGCGCAATCGTTGACTCCCCTGTATGTACATTATCCAATAGTGGGAGAAGTGTAATTCATAAAAATCCTTGTTTTTTGATTTTACAAAATTGTGCACATTGTGCTTTACACATTCATTTAGAAGAACTCGGCACAAAATTTTAATTTGAGTAAAAAAGATTTTTAAGTGATTTTAAAGGTTGTTTTTTATCAGAGGTTTATTTTAAGTGTGCAGGGTGATTCAAATTCGTGGATCACCATTGGGATCTCCATAACGGTGGTAGATACTGTGTAGGTTGTACTGATCTTAACCCACCCCAGGCTCGAAGTGAAGATGAGATTTCACGGCAAAGTGGCAACGTTGCAATCCCAGTATCAAAACACGGTTCCCGCTCAAATTTCGAACAAAAGAATGGCACGTGATTGGATCGTCTAAGGTAGGGCCCCCTTACGTTACACGAAGCTAATACAATGAGTCGGGACCCAGTCGGGCAGGAACACTCAAATAAAACGCTGTAATGTCTGCGAGTTTATTTATTATAAACTTATTCTGAAAACCCGGGAATTTGGATGTGGTACATTAAAAGCAAAGCAAGCAAAACCTAAAGGTGCCGCACTCTCGCAAAAGCAGACTACCAAGGAGAAAAAGAGCGCGACTTGAGAAAAAACCTTGGCCTTGAATAAAACCCAAACTATGTAAATCACAAGCAAATTACAACACCAACCACCTAACCAGAACACGTAACACCGCCTTAATTAATGAATGAATTCAAGTAGCAGGGTACGTTTGAACAGTATGCGTAGAGTATTCGTCACAACATGTCATGTACTTCCCTTTAATCGCGGCTAGAAGGCAACTCACTTTTTAGTTAGTCATTGGTTATTCGTTAGGTTTGGACCAACGTCTTCGCTTGATTGCCCTCCTGTTTCACGGTTATATTGTTAGGGGCAACACATTCATGCATTTATTGATATAAGTCACCTTACTAGTTATTCATCTCATTATATACCGAATAGAGTGGTGTGAAGTTTGTAAAAACATGTCTGATCTATTATTCATGTTGTGACGTAACAATAGGCAGTTATGACAATACACAGTGTGCTCGTGGAGCTCCCAATTATGCTCAGTTTCTACATAATGACATTGGTATAAACCCCAGACTGTGTAACTGAGTTAAACATGGTCTAAACCTGAGATATCGTAGACTTCCACAAACACATGGATATTAGTTAACTCCTCGCATGTTGTAAATTACATATTAGCACAATGGTAGATGGAAAATGTCTGATTTAACAAATGGCACAATTCAGATAAGTACATAAGAGTAAACTACATAAAATACTTTACTCGACACCAAAGTGGTTGAATCTTACGCACAAACACAAAGCTAAACTCTATGAATACAACTCAAAATGCAATAATCCCACCACCAACAAGCTTTAACAATCAACAAGTGACGCCAAGTCCCCAAATCCCAAACAGAAATTACAAAAAAATATCGATGGCGATGGCTCATGTCCCCAGAATCTCCAACTACTTGACCGGTTGCATCCGACGTTGAATTATACAGGGTATTTAAAGGGATATAGACATCTCAAGGTTAGGGGGCAAAGTTGCTCATTTTTGTGATTAAAAAAACGCTTTTGAAATTTTTGAAAAATCTTTGAAAATAACTGAAATATCACCGTATTTTCTCTAGTTCAAATGGTTGGAAATGGACGGTTCCCGTTAGCACCTTCTATGGGTACTTTTTTTTTTAAGAATTTGAATCTATTATCGGAATTCCCATAGCATGCTGAGTAGAAGCTACAGGCGACTGATGTTTTATTCAATGGGTAATTAGATCTTGCTGAATCAACATGGCTATGATGGTGATGCATTCAAATGAATTTCTTTATTTGTTCTCTATCTCATTCCGTAAAAATCCAACATGGCGTATATAAGAAATAAGTAAGTGATAGCCTTTAACTTCTACATTTAGCGTGTTACAGAAATTCTGATAACAGATTCAGATTCTTCAATAAAAAGTGCCCGAAGAAGGAGCCAACAGAAACCATCCATTTCTGTTCGTTTAAGCTAGGGAAAATGAAAACGAAATTTTGACTTTTTCAGTTTTCTGGTGATATCTGCATTATTTTCAAAGATCTTTAAAAAAGTTCACATTTTTTTAGTCACAAAAATGGTCGACTTTGCTCCCATTTAACCTAGATTGTCTCTCACCGTTACAGAGATCCCAATGGTGACCCAAGAATTTGAAGCACCCTGTACATGTCAAGTTGTATAACAATTTTTCTATGGCCAAGGGGGTCCTCAGTTCGAATTCGTATTTGAGCATTGAAGTTATGTAAATGTGAGTGCGAGTTGTAAATTGTGCATTGGCAAAAACTCTTGTCCACTTAAAAATAAAAATTCATAAACCAAAATTGCCCCTCGATGCAAAACAACTTTGCCTATCTAGTGCACTATGATCTTTAGTTGTACTTACACCATCCACACGATGAGATTGTATTTGGTTCCAATATATCGCTGCATTTGCACACGCAATCGATTCGATAATAAAAGTAACAGTAACAAATCCAAAAAAGGCAAATAAAATTAAAAACATTGTACTAAACAACCAGCCCGCCCCCGAAAACACAGAAGGCAGTGTCAAAGCGCCAGTTCCAACAATTAAATTGAAGACATAAATTAAGCCGACCTAAAACATCCCTTTTTATATTTTACAGATCTTTAATCATACCTACCCATGGCGAGTATCTTTCACGAGGTCGCAGATCTTGCGGCATTTTCAACACAAATAACTAAATACAATAAAACCAATGGTTATTTGTGGCTAATCATTTCGTTCTGAATCTGGTGTGCTGAGGTGGTTCATACAGATCTTTTCTTCTGATAAAAAAAGTACAACAGCTGTACATTTTTCCAAGTAATTTACGATTTCAGCTGACCAATTATTGTTCAAATTTCTTATCACTTAGATTACAAAAAATGTTTAAACACACATTCACCATAAATAAATAATAAATTTGTAAGTGAGAAGGAACAAATAAAATAGTTTACTTTAAACGTATACAGTGTGGTGTGTGCAACGCGACAGCTGGTCGATTATTATACAGGGTGACACTATATAGCCGGACACTATTGTCCTATTAAAGATATCTGCACCTGAATGGTGAAAAGTTTGTTTAATAACGATCGCAATTATTAAGATTGTTAAAGCTCGAAAATTTAAGTTGAAATAAATTACATTGCAAAAATAAACTTTGAAAATGGTAGTTCACCGAATAAAAATAGAAATAGACTGGGAAAAAAGAACTTACCAATAAAAAAACCAGCCGTCAAATTAATATCAAATTTTGTTATAAAATTAATTGTTTGTAATGATGTGAATGCGTAACATAAAATTATAACATCACAAAAAGTAACAGATAATCTTCAAGAGGTAACATATAGGTTAAAAACAAGTTTTGAGAATTATGGGTCCGGTAAGCAGATACCAAGATTCTAAGAAAGGGTGAAATACACAGGATGTGACTCATCTTTGGTGCAATAAAGTCCTTTTGTTAAAAGCAAGATGAAAAATTACATGGCCTTGTAGGCAAATTTAACTAAAAACAAGATATGTGGAAATTATTGAATCGCCACTCATTTATCGCACATAGATTCTAAACTGAAGAGCTTTGATTAGCGTAATCCCGCTCCGGCAAGATAGGCAACCCACCCCTGGTTTCGAGCCTACAGTTGAATATCGAAGACAATCACGGAATTAGGTATCGTAACTCAATTTTGGCTACATTTTGTACCACCCCCGTGACTGCTTCATTCACGGAGAAAATTGTTAGTTACAAACGACAAGTCAGTACATACATCAACCGAATCGGTAACTTTCACATATTAAAAAAATTAAATGATCAAAACTTATATGAATGTTACTTCAGCGACAAGACCAAGTAATCAACATCAATAAACATAAATTAAGCAAGCATTACACCAAAAACGTAAACAATTGCAAACAATAGCATAACGGTATCACATATGTGATTCTGCATTGGGGTTAAACCAAGTAAATTTCAGAAACAAAGATTCAAACACACAAAAAATATAAAATGTGGCACACAAAACACAAATACGATATAAAGAAATGCAAAGATTACTACCTGCATTAAAAAACACAAAATAACAACAAACATTGCTAAACGTACGTAATCCACGTTTGTGCGCTTCCGATGCAGAGACATGGAGAGAGGAGATCGGTGATCGACGAGTGCGCATCCAAGAAAGGGTGCGACCTCATGGGCGCTGCCATTTTTACACCCTTTG